TATTAATTTATTTTTAAATATATTATATATTACATCTAATGTTTGTAAATAATGATTAATATTAATTAATTTTATATAATAACATTTTTTTTATACAATAATTTTTTTCTTTTTTTCAAAATCAAATCATATTGATTAATATATATATGTTATTAATTAATATTATATATATATATATATATTAATATATATAATTAATATAATATTACTAATTAATTAATTTATAATAAAAAACATTGAATTGTATCTTTCAATTATAGATCATTGTATAAAATATAAAAAAAATAACAAACTTTACAATTTTAAGTTTCACCACACTTATTTTTTTTTTTTTTTGAAAACAAAAAAAAAATATTGAATAGTAATTTAAATTAATACAATTAATAAAAAAAAATCTTCAACTTTTCAATTTTTCTCAAATTGCAAAAATTTCGAGTTATGATTTTGAGATTGACCTACAAACGTCGAAACCTAAAAAGCGTTTTTGGTTTCGACTCAAAAGAAATTCTTTATACTTCAGATCAAAAATGCATGAGTACAAATTTGAAAGCGCACAAAGTATAGTAAAAGGAATGAATTATATAGTTTCCATTAAAGAATCCAAAAAAAATTGTTCTTACCTCGATGTCCTCGAGCAACTCTGCACCGTCCTTGTCGAATTTATTTCCGGACTTTGAGGACAACAAAACGATCTTTGTGAGTGGTCTAACCAACAATGTGACCGACTCCCTCCTCTCTTCCGTTGTAATGGAGAAATTTCCGACCGAAGTAGTAAGTATCCATGTCACCAAGAATGAATCCCACTTTGACACTCCAATAGCTTACATTAACATGTCCACTCATGATGCAGCCAAAAGGGTCATAAGTACATTAAACGGTGTTATGGTCGATGGTAAACCAATCAACATGTTTTGGGCTTTAAAGGATTTCAAGCAAAGAACAGACACTCAGACCAATTTGTTTGTGAAAAACATTAAGAAGTCGGTCAACCAGAAGGAACTCCAAGACGTCTTCTCTGCCATTGGAGAAACCCTAAGCGTCAAACTTTCATTAAATGAAAAGGGTGAATCGAACGGCTTTGGATATGTCAAGTACAGAACTCTCGAAGCAACACAAGCCGCGTTGGACAAATCCGACGAGCTCAAAGCAAAAATCGGTGAAGAGACATTTGTCGTCCAGAAATTCGAGAAACAGAACAAGAGCAGGAAGACTAATTTGTACGTCTACAACATCGACAAAAAGGTTACTGAGGAGCAATTCATTAAGTACTTCGAGACTTTCGGTCCTATTCGAAAGACCTCCGACAAGAAGCCACAAGTCTTATTTGTCTCCGAAGAGACTAAAGACACCGCAAAGGGCTTTGTCGACTTTGAGAACGAAGAAGACGCTGCTAAGGCCGTTTCTGCTCCCAAAAATTCAGTTTTAGGAAATGGTGAAATCGTCGTTGCTTATTACAAAAATAAGGAAGAGAGACGCCGAGAGTGGAAGGCTAAGACTGCTGAAGTCAAAGCAAATATCAAAGGAAAGTATAAGGACTTCAACTTGTACGTCGACACTCTTAAAGAGTCGATCACCGAGAAAGAAATCCGAGAAGGACTTGGAGAGGAAGGTGAAATCTACTCGTTGAGCATTCGATGGGTCGACAGAAAACCAACCGGCGTTGCTTATTTGTGTTACACCACTGCTGAAGGAGCTAACAACGCTATTGTTAAAGGCACTCAACTCGGCTGGAAAGTCTTCAAGTTCTTGAACAAACAAGAGATTGCCGTCAGCGATATGGCCTACGGTAATTTCATGAACCAGGCCTTCTTAATGAGCTATATTAACTACTTCCAACAGTTAACTTCCTTACAACCATATCAAAAAAAGAAATCAAACGGACCAAGAAGAGAAAGAAAGGACGACAGAAGCGATAGAAGAGAAGAGAAAGGCGGAAGAAGAGACCGGGATGACAAGCGCCACGAGAGAACAGAAAAACAAGAAAAGGTCGAGACTAAAGTCGAAAAGAAAGAAGAGAAGAAGGACGTGAAGGTCGAGGCAAAGCCAGACCAAATTACCGAAGATATGAGAAACGAACTCGGTGAGAACTTGTTCTTATACGTCGAGAAGTACACTAAGGCTGATGAAGAGAAGAACGGCAGAATCACTGGTGTCCTCCTTGATTCGATCAAGTTCGAACAACTTAAAGCTATGCTCAACAACGAAGATAAGAAGGATATCAACGGAGTTATCGACGAAGTGATCGAGACCCTCAAGAAGATCTGAGTTAAGCCAGCATTGAGTTGCTTTTGTTTTTTCTTTCTTTCACTCTCGATGAGACGCCCGATTAATCCTTTCATTCCGCTATTTCAAATCTCTCTCATGTTTTAATTTTTTATTATATAAAAATACATTTTTTACTATAATGTATAATATTTTTTTTAAAGAAGAATTAAAAAGTCTTTCAAAGAAGTTTTGTTTTGAGATATATAAATAGATGTATTATATTTGTAATTAAATTTTGCTATTTAAATAATACAATAATCAATTGTAGATTTGTCACAATCTCGAGATTGAAAGGGGAGGAACAAAAACTCTTAAAACAGTTGAAAATTAAAAGAAAATGAACGTCGAAATTGAGTTAATAAAGTACGGCTTTGCAGGAGAGGAAACGAACGGCTACGTCTATATGACAGTCAAGAAGCCGACAATCCTCAACATGGGATTTGTTTCACTCAGCCAAATTGACGTGCTGGGGTATGGCAACAATTCTGCATGCACTCGGTCATCAAGCCACACGTTCTCCAATACGATATCGAACTACCCACAGAAGATACAAAGCCAAATCAACATGTTTCCAATTAACATAAGCTCTGTCGGGAAAGAGTTTCCGCCAGGCAAGCACCGCCTTGATTTCTCATTTTATTTGCCACAAAACTTCCCGACGTCGTACGTAACACAGTGCCAGAGTTTGTCTTATTCTTTACAAGCACAAATGTTCACCAGTGACGGAAAAAACTTTTCGTCAGAGGAAGTCGAATTTCCCGTGTTGTACAATCACGCACTAATAAGTTCATTACCACTGACCGTGTCGGGTATTATTAATAACCTTTTTGTTACAATCCACGCAACACAAACAACGCTGAGCCGAGGAGAGAATGCGGTGGTGTACTTGAGCGTGTCTAACTTATCGAGTGACATCAACCGGACACTGAGAATTTTGTTGATTTCGGAATGTAACGATGGAAGTGATGTGACCATTGAAACGCTGAACGAAGTATCATTTGAACTTACCCAAAGCGAGTTGGTCAATCAACAAGTCGTGTTTCCGATCGACCAAAAAACATGCCCATCAACTGTCACCCCAACTAACTCATTGAGACATTACATCGTGGTGAAAATGGACAACTTGAAGTTCACCGAGAAAAATGAACTCCTGGCGTTGCCATTGTCAATTTCAGCAGATGCACAGAACGTCGTCGTCGAGGAAAACAAAGGGAAATCCGTGGAGATAAAACCAACATACACAATGTTCCCAAATGTTGATTCTGTTATGGTCAGTCCCGGAATTGAACATTTGAAAACGACAAACAACTCAGATATGTTTGTTGATCACATGCGTCGTTTGGTCTGTGATGCAAACGGAAAAGCAATTGACGGAATTTACCCATTTTACGAGTCAACAACATTAAAACCCGGGTGCACGTTTGGTATTTTACACAATAGGGATTGTGTTATAAACCACACGACAAAGGAAGTCATGTGGTTCAAGGACGATTTGTTGCCACAGGCTCTTCTCCAACAATGTGAAAATGCAGTTGTGACAATTCAAGTTTTGGAAGCCGAAGGGCTCAACGTGCGGTCTGCAAAAAATGTTCCAAAGGTATATTGCTGCGTCACAACAACTCCTTGGAAAAAATCAAAAGAAGTGCAGGGAATTTGCCCTGCATTTGACGATACGATGTTCTTTATCGACGTTGGGAACAATAGAAAGAACGTTATCTTGTATCTCTACGACAACTCAAGCATATTGGGTGATGACTTACTTGGCTTTGTGAATATAGATTTGACAAAAATGCCATTTCCATGTGCGATTGAAGGCTGGTTTGAGTTCAGAAATTCTCCTTTGGGAGAAGAAACATACACAGGAAGAGTGAAGTTGAGGATTGCATACGATAAAGTGAGACACAGCGCAGGTGATGTTTATGTCCATATCCCTGACGTGATTTCATGCTTTACTAAACCCATTTACTCAAATTCAACAAAAATGCAGAAACAAGTCAAAAATGCATCCGCTTTGTGCTCCCAAGCCGGAGCAACACCTTACTGTTCGATTACTTCAAATGGGAGTGTTGTTAATAAGTTTGAACAGCTTTACCAGAGTCTTTAAAAGCCATCACCAACCAAATCATAATCGAAGTACATTTGTTTTGTTGTGTCTTAAACACAAAAATAATAAATTAAATACTAACAACGCTAGAACAAAGTGAAGACGACATTCCTTTGATATGTGGTCGAATGAGTGTTTGGTAGTTTCTCTTCAGTCTGTTTGGCGGGCAAAGTTTAGTCTTTTCTTGTGGTTCGAAAAAACAGTTTAAAAACGCGTTTTGAGGCAAAGCCAGAGACTCGGGACACTTGAGAATTGAGAGTGATGAACAGTCCTTAAAACACAAATCGCCGACCCACGTCAGGCGCGACGAGAACGCGAGTTTTTCCAATGACGTACACGCTTCAAACGTGGAGTCTCCAAGAAGTGAAAGTGTCGTTGGGATATCCAATTTCGACAGACTGGAGCAGTTTCTGAAACTTCCATCCAACAGTGAGCCGAGTGTATTTGGCAACACGATGTTAGTCAAGTGTATACATTCACAGAAGCATTCGACTCCTATAGTAATAATACCCTCTGGTAATACAATTTCTTCAAGAGAAAAACAATTTGTAAAGCATTGTGTTTTTAAAGTGTTTATAGTAGTTGGGAGAGTCACTTTTCTTAAGAGTGGACAGGAGCAAAACATTCTCGGCTCGAGATGTAACAAAGGCGATGCACTTAAGTCGATCACCGACAGCATTTGACACTTTAAAAACGCTTCTCTTCCAATAAAAGTTATTTGTTGGAGTGATTTGAATGCACGCAAACCACTTTGAGAGAAAGCGAGTCTATTAATCACTTTAATATTCGGAGGCACATCAAATGCATCCAACTTCTGACACATTGAAAAGCATTCCAAAGGAATTTGAGTGGTTTTTGAGAGAAAGCGAACTCGATTTAAATTTGTGCATTGGTTGAATATTTTATTTGACATGTATGTGACACTTTCTGGTACCTCGACATCAGTAAGGGCATAACACTTTTCAAATGCACTGTCTTGAATATTTTCTATTTGACTTGGTAGTGGTATCTCAAGTAAATTGATGCACCCACTGAACGCAAAAGATCCAATTGTTCTCAGCATCTTGGGAAATGGGAAGTGCTCGAGACACACACAATTTTGGAACGCCTCATTTCCTATTTCTAAAACTCCACTTGGCATTTCTAGTGAACACAATGAAACGCAATTTTTAAAACAACTGTTTGGTATTCTTCTTATGGTTGAAGGTAAAACGACGGACGTTAACACTTCGCAATTTTCAAATGCGTTATTTCCTAATGCGCCTACTTCTTGAAGAATAAAGAAATGCAAATTAATGCAATTGGAGAAACAGAAATTCCCAATAGAAGCTCGACTCATCTTTACAGAAGTTAACTCACTGCAGTTGTTAAAGCATTTTTCACCTAAAATAACACTACCAAGAATCTTCAAACTTTCAAGCTGTGAACAGTTCTCAAAACATCGAGCTCCAAGGTGTGTGACACTTTTGGGAATGACTATTTCTCTTATCTGAACAGCTTTGAAGCATTCATCTGATATTGAAGTTATACTCTGCAGTAGACTCGTCTTCTTCATATAATCCTTTTCATTTGTTAACACCACTTTGTTGCATAAAATACCCTTTTTGTGGTGTTCACAAGACGTCTTGTAATCAACGGGACACGTCATTATATATTTTGATGCGTGTTTATGTAAGTACTTCAAATCGTTCTCATTATAAAAAAATTGCGTTTCGATCTTTTTGAAAAGCTTTTTGGTCTTTTTCGTAAGGGAAATTGGGTTGTAATGAAATCGTTCAATGTTCTTATGGAACTTTCTATTGACACACTCAAAATTAAGAAAATCAACTTTGTCGTTGAAATACGACGACACTATATACCCATAAACACCTTCAAGCTGTGTCGGTAGCTTATCACTTGTGCTTGACAAACTCATTTGTGGTTTTCTCGTTCAAACCGTGAAGTGGTTGGTCTAACAAACTTCTTTTAATTTATAATTCTCGAAACCATTATTAAACTATATCAGGACTCTCACAACTATTGACCAAATTTAACAAACCATTTTAACTTTTTTATATTTTTAAAAAGAAACATTTTTATGTTATTCTATACATGGTTGAACTGATTGTAAAGAATAACTATATTTTTTTAATATTTATACCATAATTTATAATAAAATTATCTGTATTGAATAGATAATGTTGAATGGAAGTAATTTTTTTTTTACTTCTTTTTCAATTGATAATTAACAATATAATTTTTTTATTAACTTTTATTAAAAATTGGTTTTTGTTGTTCAAACAACTGACGAAAATAAGTTTTTTTCTTCTAGTTTTTTTGTAATGATTTGTTCTTTTGTTGTGTTGATACTAAAAATATACTACAAGAATTACTACAATAAAACTATAACTATTCAAAACAACTAATAGTAAAGTAAAATTAACTATAAACAGGGTAATCCAAACCGTAACAATTTGTGCACTGCGTGGCACTTTCGTGACGTGGCAAACCAAAAAGACAAAAATAATTATTTTGTTTTTTTATATTTTAGTTTAACTATTTTTTGCTTTGTGGTAATATAAAAAATAAATATAATTTAATAACGTCGAAAACACCGAGTTTATATATAAATATCAATAAAAAACTTAAAAAAACAATGTCGAAAGATGAATACACACAACTTGTATTATTTGAGAGGATAGACAAAAACCGTTTTTATTGCAAAATATGTGGGAAAATATTAACCAGAATTGGAATGAATCAACATATCCACTCCATTGAATACACCAAAAAAACTATAGACTTGATTTTAAACGTTTATAACTCCGGTAAAAATTTTATTTTTATTAAAAAAGTGCAAGAAAAAGAAGTTCAAGAAGATGATAGAGACACAAAATTGTTACAACATGTTAGAGAGTGTGAGTTGTTTATTTCGAAAAAATTAATCCAAAACAACCTTATTTCGAAAACAGAAGTTATCAATGATATTATAAATGGTGTCATCGAAGGAATAAAAGTCTACGGTTTACATTTTTATAAATGTCTTTGTTTGTCTAAAACAACAATGAGACGTAGAAGTGATGAAGAATGTTCAATTGAAAAAGAACAAATCAAAGTTATGATCCAAAATTGTGTTTTTGTAGCAATACAATGTGATGAATGCAAAATACACAAAGTTAGAAAATATGTAATGTGGGTGAGATTGGTAATGCAAAACGCTGAAGTCAAAGATATTCTTTTAAAGTTTTGGGAAGCCACACTTTCGACTGGAAAATCTATTAAAGACAGAATATTTAAGTATTTTCTAGAGTTTGGTGTGGAACGCAATAATATAAGTATTTGTACGAGTGATGCGGGTTCAAATATCTATGGTTGTTACAATGGATGTTATGCTCTCATTATGAAAGAGGTTAACTATGAAAACAGTTTTTTATTTGTGATAAAAATAGATGTTTTTGTCATACAATTAATCTGGCGCCAAAAGAACTTGAAAAGGATTATTTAGTTATTCGTCTATTAGAGTGGTTAAAAGATATTTGTTATATTTTATCAGAAGATAATGATTGGAAAATGATGGGAGGAGCCACTGTTGGAACATACTGTCCTACACGTTTTTTAAGTATGAAATCAATTGTAACGTTTTCATATAACAATTGGAAGGAAATTGAATTTTTTTTCTTGAAAAAAGTGTTGAGTGTGAAAGTGTCAATGATATTGATATGAGCGATTTACTTTCTTTTTTGGTTGATAAAGATAGTCATTTCATTTGTGCTGTTCTTATGGATACTTTGGTTGATTTGTCGTATCTTAATCAATAATTACAACACAAAGACAATATAATTTGTAGAGATATAATTGAAATTGAAAATTTTTACATCCATATAATTGAAATGATATTGTGTGTGAAAAATGACAACTTTAGTTCAATGCAAAATGTTTCGAAGATTATGGCATTCGATGTAGAAAGGAGAAAAATTATGATATTGAAATTGTTGACAGTATTAAAAACAAAGTTCAAAAAACGGTTTCAATTTTTGGAAAAATATTTTGATAAGCTTCAAGAAAAATGTTATTTAGCAATAGAAATAGAAAAATATTTAAATAAAGAAAAAGAACTTGACTGTGATTTTGAAGTGTTAAGAGAGGGAATTGACATTATGAGAGAACAATATCATAATTCTTCAATATCTCAATTTAAAGAAAAAATCGTGCCCAGACTTGTTTTGAAAAAAGGACATCTTGAAACTGACTATATATTAGATCTTCATTCTTTGCGTTCTTTAATACCTCGGAACACGGCTCTGTGGACATTTTACTTATACTTGCTAAGCGCATATTCAACAAGTTGCTTATCTGAGTCATCTTTTTCATCCGCAAAATTGGGTTGGAAACCTCATTTGTCAGAAATGGAATATAATAAGCAAATGTCGATGAAGGGTTCTAGAGACAATTTTGCAACTGCCCCCGATTTTCAAAAACATTCAAATGAGCAGTGAGATGATTTTGTTTAATTATTATTGATTAGTTTATTTTTTTTAATAAAAGATATTATTTTCTTCTTACAAAAATTTGAAAAAAATATAAATAACATTATATTTATTGGTAATTGTTATTTGTATATGCCGTAAATATTTATTTTAATATTATTTGACAATATTTTTATTTCTCTTTACCAAATAATTGCTCTATTTATATCGGCCAATTCCATCCTGGTTTGGCACACCCTGGACTATAAATAATGATTAATGAAAACAATCTATTTTTAATTATTACAATAAAACTAATAAAAGCTAAATAAAAACCAATCACATATGAATGAGAACTAAACAAGACATAAACTATACAAAGAACCATACATTTGATTCTATATGGATTCTCCTATCCCTTTCACGTTTCGTTGTCTAATCCAAAAGAACAACGCCTGTCTCCTTTTGAATGACTTTTTTCAAGTGTTCCTTAATCTTTTTTCTCTCTTTTAAAGGGTCGACTTTCTTTGTGAGTCTTTGGAACTTTTCGTTTGTATCTGGTGTATAGATGATGAACTTTTTGATGAAATAGAGCATATAGACTCCGCAGTCATATCCGTTCTTTTGTTGTGGGACGTCGATGAAGATATCCTTCTCGTCGTCTTCCCAATTCTCCCATTCGCTTATTTTGTCATTTCTTTTAAATTCCCATCGAAGAAATTCTTTGATCTTGGCCACCATCTTTTTGCTCGACTTACTACTTCGAAGAGAGTCGACTATTAAAATACACGGTGACTTGGTGTAATCATTATAACTCAATTCTTCTCCATCCGATGAATCGACTCTCATCTCCACTTGTTTCTCAGTCTTCTTATCATCGGACGTTCCTTGATAAATGGGGTATATCGGACTCTTCTTCGAGTTCGACCGTTTAAACGGGGTTTCCAAAAGGGATTGTGACAGACTCTCCTCCGACTGTTCGAACTCTTCTGCCACTGTTCTCTTCTTAATTGTGAGACTAGATGTGTCCGTGTCTTTCCCGTAATAATGTTCATCGACTGCGCCGTCCTCTGTTTCGCCAAGGGTAGCCCAGTTCAGCACGTCCTTTTCTGTTTTGTTGCAGACGATAATTAAGAACCAGTGGGAGTCGAGGATACACGGAAACAGTAAAAATCGGTAGTCCATCATAAATGAATTCTTGTCAATCCAATTCAGAAACTGTTGATACCGTTGCTCTCTCTTATCGTCTTCCTCTATCGAACATATCGAATAGATCTTCGACGAGAAGAATGTGTTAAAGACCTTCAGACGGACATTTAAGTGCCGTATTTCAACTTCTTTGATATACCAATTGATAATGACGTCGTTCAACATATTCCCGTCTTCAAGGCGGTCATAGTCCGACTGTCGTAAACAGAAGTCCGACTTCTCTATTAATATGTTATCCGTATCTTCCTCAGACTTAACATTTTTCGTCTCTTTCGTTTCTTCCTTCCCCACTATCTCGTGTATTTCCAACGCAACATTTTGGCCTTTGCTTGCCTTCTCTTTCTCTTTAGACATCTTTCTCTCTTTTTAAGTTCATGCATTGTGCTTTATATATCAAAATTCCGTTTAATTCATTTATAACATTTTTACTATATTTTTACTAAATTTGAATGACAAAATATTAAAAATGTTATTATCATACACTTCACAACTCGATGACCCCATCACCACCTAAGTCGACTCTTTCCTTCATTTGCTCCTCTCCACTAATTCCAAGGTCTTCCATCACTTTTTTAATATCAAAGAGTTGCTCGTAGTCATATAGAGTTCCCCTCGTTGTTGATGCCTTCCCAATTAAGGGAATAGTAGTGGGATGGGTTGTTGAAAAAAGATTTGCCAATTTTGTCGCTTTGCCAGACAAACTCAATGTCTTTCGCCAGTCCTCAAACATTTGGGTCTTCAGAAATCGCTTCATAAAATCTACGCCAAAATCACAACTTCTGGAGACTTTCCCGTCGGTCTCTGCGTCGATCTCAAAGATGTCGAGTGTACACAAATACGACAACAACGAGACGATGTATGTGCAACACCGCATTATAAGCCAATGCTCACTCCCTTCATACATCCCATTGGTCGCATTTTGTTGATACAATTTGACCTTTTCTACCATCGTTTTCGCTAACTTTTTGTCGCAAGAAGTCATCGCAACACTTCGCTGAATCTCTTTGTTGTTCCACACAAATTTAGCGTTATCGACGTCGATAACAACGTCGACACTTTCATTGCGCGTTCGAAGAATATTATTTGACATTGCGGCGAAGAAAGGCTTGTCGACGAATGTAGGTAAGAGTACATAAGGAAGTGTAAAGAGTGTGTGATGGTCCAATGACGTCTTCAGTGGCAACGCGAGTTCCAACAATGGGTTGATCACATCGACACCGCAGAGAGAAAGAACGTCGTCGAATCGAATGACTTCTCCTGGGTTACAAGACACCAGAGAATATAACATTGAACTACTCGACTCTTCTGTACTTAATAACACACTTTTGGAGTCTATAAGAGTTAACTTTAATATTGAGAAGAAGTCGTTTGGGAATTTCAGTAACAACTTTGTGAGAGACGTGTCGCTCTTATATGAACTTTCTATTTCAAAGGGGGACGGAGATGGTACTGCGCTGCAGACCAATAGATTGTATGACTGTATAAAGATGTCTTTAGTCACTTCATGTTGTGTACTGAGGAACTGAGCAATCTTCTGGAGACGAACGGAAAAGTATGTCAAAAAAGGCGAATTGGTTAACACAGAGATTGACGCCTTAGAAGAGACACTGCACGTCACAACACCGAGTGGCGGGTCGTCTCGATTTTTTGAGGGGTGAAAGTGAAATTGAGAAGAACAGAGTGGTGCATCGGGTTGACTGAAATTGGCAAGGTTTTTAATGTTATAACCGAATGGGTTAGGTAACGGAGGGAATACCAGTAATGTTGATGATGAGTTTTGAAGCAGACACAAGTGGATAAAAATGGTGTTTTCAGACATACAGATGGGCTGACTTCCAAGTTTTTTATTAGTTGGTATTAGAAATATTTAAACAATTACGTTTAATTTTGTGGAACAAATGATTTTTCATTCAAAAGTCACACAAATCTATTGTTATGATCCAAATAGTTGTTTAAACTAATAAAATCAATTTCATCATTATTCATTTATTTAATAAAATTTATTATTAATTTAATTAATATAATTTAATGATGAAATTACTATATTGTTACAAAAATACTATTGTTTACTATAAGAAGATCCCGTTCTTGAAGTTAAATAATCCAACTATTTCAATATAATAAAAGAATTAAACAATTATTATTTGACTCAATAATTTCCCATTTAAACTATAGTAACTAATAAAAAGAATCAGAAATGATAGTAAATAAAAAAGAAGAAGGTATAGGGTTAATGAAAAACAAACGAACTGTTTTGGCACTTTTCGGATGTCAGACAACCAGAGACAGAAGCGTACCTTCAAGAAGTTCGAGTTTCAGGGCAAATCCCTTGAGGAGATTACTGCTATGCCAGAGCCCGATTTTGTTAAGATGTTGGACGCTCGCTGCAGAAGATCATATGCCCGTTCCCCAAAGTTGAAACATGAGCGCCTTGTCAAGAAATTGTTGAAGATCAAGAAGGCCACTAAAGCCGACGAGAAGCCAAAGATCGTCAAGACTCAGTGCAGAAACAAAATCATTTTGCCAAACATGATCGGCTCAGTCATCGGCGTTTATAATGGAAAGTCTTTCACCACTGTCGAAATCAAGCCTGAAATGCTCGGACATTACCTCGGTGAATTTTCTATCACCTACAAGCCAGTCACTCACGGAAGACCTGGTGTCGGTGCTACCCACTCTTCTAAGTTCGTCCCATTGAAGTAATTGATTTTCTGTTCTAACTTCAGTGATTATTTCTTTCTTGTTTTATCGCATCATTTTCTTGACTTAAATTTTTATCGCAATGAGGGCAATTTCTCATTTTCATTTCAGAATTTAACGTTTTTGACATGCAAAAAAAAACAGTGAAAAATCAATCAAATTCATTCAAAATAATTGTTGAGCAACCACATGATGAACTTCACGACTTGTGACGATGAATTCTTATCAAACGAGATTTTGTTGATTGTATCAAGTTTCAGTTGTATATATTGTCCCGCACCAACACCATACTTCTCTTGCTCCATTAACAGAATTAATGATTTAATAATATCAACCATTTCACCCTTTTGCAATATTTCATAGTTGTCCAAAAGGTCCATAATGGCATTTACAATGCCATTCTCGACTAACATTTTTAAACACTTGACTTCAGTTTTACACTCGTTGATGATCGACGCTATTGCTTTACAACACTCGCGCTTTATACCAACGTCCGTCAAGTACGCCTGTTTAATCACATATTTGTAGAAATCGCCTTCAGAGAAGAATAAGACAATTTGTGGCTTTGTTATCACTATGTTCCCAATAGCCCAAACAACATTTTTTATTTCTAAAGGAGTCAGCGGATACTTCAATAACATTCTAAAGACCTGAGAGATGTCATCCGTTAAGATCCCTTTGTATGCGGCTTCACTCAATATTTCTATGACCAAGTCTCTGAATTGAGTGGTGTCTATGAAGGGTACTACTTGTTGAAATGGTATTAAATAGTCGTGGGTGAGCAATCCAAGGCAACCTCGTAGTGTGTTCTCCACAACTTCTTCGTCTTGAATTTTAAGAAAGTAACTTGCCAATTCACTCACATTGGACCCGGCATCTGCCGCAATGCATAAAGCCCACGACGCAAGTCTAAATATATTTCTATCATTAAATTGCACACAGAACCGTAAAGCATTTGGAAGTACTTCAACTGCCCCATGGACGGGGATTGAAGCTAAATTGCCAAGGAATAACAAACACTATAACTTATTGTCTATTCCTTTAATTAATTAATAATTAATTAATTATTAAATAGATTTTTAATGTGAATTAAAAACAAACGGGAATGATCAAATCTTTGTCTATTGTGGTCTGAGTTGCATTGTATATTGCGCCGTTTGTTTCAATCATTTTAATAATCTCAGGAGAACACACCGATAACGAAGCCAACGACTGTAATGCATAAGAAGTGATTTTAGTGTCTCTGTTGTTGATGCATGATGTCAAAAATCGAACTAAAAAGAGTTGCGAGTCGGAGTCCAGTGAATTGACTTTTTCAACTTCTCGAGTAAAGTTCGTGGTGAGAGCAAGGCGTTCTCTTAAAACCTCGTCCGACAGTTCTTCATGAAATTCTTCGATCAAATTTTGTAATGAAAATTCTTTCATGGGCTTTTCTTGAGGAATGGGAATACCATACATCTGTAATATTTGTGTGCGGCTTTCTTCAAGGCGCCGCGTTCGTAATGCGTTGCGTTGGGCGCTCTTATCAATGCGCCGTTTTTGCATATGTCCTTCTTGTGTTTCAATTCCTAAAGACTTCATCTATCTTTTTTTGTTTAGTACTTTTCAATATGTTTTGCTTTCGTTATTAGAATAGTATTTTATTATAGTATTTTACTATATTTGTGGTCTAATATAGTTATTTCCTTTAATAACAATGTGTTATTCAAATGTTATTTCAAAACCATAAAATGAACTAAAAAAATAGATGAATGAGATAATACAGGAACTCGAAGGAATTCCATTGTACCATACTATTCCAGTTGATTTAACGACAAAGATGACAGAGTGTATAATGAAGAAAACAAATTTGGGTAACGATTTATTGAATTTCATTTCCAAAATATCATGTGAGAGGAGTGAATTGATCAACGAATTTTGTAATACTCCCTGTGATAGGGTATTAGAAATGGTTCGTAAATACGTCTCAAAAATTGTAGCATTCTTTTTGTTTTATCATGAAAATTGTGAGTTTCAATGGGATACAAAGACCGTAAATTGGATAGGAGAGATAACGATGGTTATTCTTAACACTTCGACATGTAGGCTGAATGATGTGAAAAACAAACACAATGACGATGAAGTGGTATATATAATAAACACGAATATCGGGATGATTGACAAATTGATTCAAGTACAATCAATCATTCAGAACACAGTGACTGATGACGTCATTTTCATTCGAAACATACACATAATACTTCAACAATACTTTCTTCTGAAAATCACTGAAAATGATGCACACGTGACAACATTATTCAGTTTAGTTCACGCAAATGAAATGTTGGTTTCGAAAATAGAACAAAGCGATACAATGAAAAAGTACATTGAAATCTTCACGAGGTTCAACTCTTTGATCGGAAACCTGAAAGTCAACAAAAACGCGTTGATGGCATCTGTACAAGCAATACCATTCGAGTTGGACCAAATCGATATTGGCTCGTTTGCGATAAATAAAACAGCGCAAACGCCAAGAGTTGTACAAAAGGAACAAATAGAAGACTTCAAACTGATCAAGACAATGCTTCAATTGAGTAAGCAAACACAAAAGAATGAGATGAATGCCTTGAATGTAATTGGTTTATTCTTTGCGATAAAAAGTCCTAATGAACAGCCAGAAGAAATTTCTCAATGGAAAGATGCGATAAAAAATACTGGAGAACATTTTGATAAATTTTCAAATGAAAATGAGCAACTCAAAAAACATTTTTTGGAAATTTTTGAGAATTTGAATTCAAAATTCGACGACGTTGCGATAAAAGGTGGAATTATTGACCCAAATTTTGTCGAAGCAGTCGACAAAATGTTTTCAAAAAATCAGCGAGCGCAATGGGAGTTTTCTGACAACTGCGTTTTGTGGAAAGGCAAATCTGATATAATCAAAACTGCACTTTCGAGAAATCTTTCCGTTGAAAAAGTGCAGATTTGTTCCATTGAAGCAATAGAAAATTCTTATCAAAAGTTCATAACTTTGTCAACACACCGAAACGAATTATTTGCAAAATATGTCGCAATGAAAAATGAATTCAAAAAGGGAAAGATAGTTGACACAACCAAACTCAAAGAAGACGTTCGTTTTGTTGGGAATGGGCTTCCACAGATATTAGATGAGTGGAGTCATTCGATCGATGAAATAAAAAAACTGATATACCTTCCAAAATACCGAAATGCTGAAATTGAGGAATTGTATCAGCTCTATTTGTTATCGAATGAACTTAACGAAAGTTATAACAAATGTTTAAAAATCTTCAATGACTTTTCGGAGTTGGCGCATTCCATTGAGAAGAATCTTCAATAAAGAATCATCGTAGAGTCTTTCAATTATTTCATTCTTCAACTATTTAACTATTCCAATAACTAAAAATTTATTATATTAATTTAGTATTATAAATTCAATAGTTTTGCTTTAACTATTACATAACCATTGTATTTTATTATTCATAATAGTTTATTAATATTATATTAGTAATAATAATATATATAATTATTGCAAATAGAAAAACTCAAAAAGGAAATGGAATCGCTTTATGTCCTTGGCACAGCAGCTGGGAAACCAACACCACAAAGCAATGTTTGACTTAATTTTTCATACGTTTCGATATTATAAACACTCCAAACAGGTATTTTGCAATGTGTATAGCAACAATTTGAATTTACTAATAGGTCACTTCAACTTTGCTCAAATTGGAAAATGGACGCCAGATATTAATCGACTGCGGGGAGGGGATTCTCACAACGATGATCAAACAAAATATTGATGTGAAGAATCTGTCGGCTATATTTATAACGCATTTACACATCGATCATATGGGTGGGTTACTCTCGTTTTTGTTCAGTAATGTTTTAGGTAACTGTCGTGTATACCTTCCTGAAGGGGGCAAGAAGCTCGTTGAAATTTTTGAGGAACAAAGTAAGACTCTGGTGACTCCGACAGTCGAAATCGTTGAATTTTCACACACCGACCAAATGAACAAATTTGTAATAAACGAAGATGTGGTGGTTTCGATAGTCACACTTCCTCATGGTGATATTAATTCGCATGGGTTTATATTTAAAGATCACAAAGGTCTTGTTGTTGGTATATTAGGTGATTCCAATGGTCGAGATTTGTCGATGGTTGGTAAAGTGAATGTCTTGATACACGAGTGCACTTTTAGTGCCGAGACATATCGTGGGAATGTTCATAGTCTTCCCGAAATGGCTGCTCGTTGTGCTGAAAGTGTTTCTGCAGACTATTTACTTCTGAACCATTTCTATACTCTCGACTCGTCTTTAAATTACTTCCTCAAACTCGTGGAAGACACTTCAAAGCACACAAAAGCTCGAGTTATTGCGTTACATGACTTCGTCACAATACATCTCGCAGATCTCATTAAATAAATTCGTATTTCCTTTTTGTCGCGTCATTGCGACAAAATACACGATATTAAATTTTCATTTGCGTTTGAATTTTTCAATAAAAAATTCAGACTTTAAGAAATTTTCATTTGAATGTTCAATTTCACTTGAAATTGATAAATTACACAATGCAGTTGCGTGGGAAGATCGTCATATTTCTCGCTGCTCTTTCTCTTGTTTTTATCATGAGGATGATACCCCTCTCCTCGCGCCATAAGTTTCAACAGATCACATTCAATTCAAATGACCAATTTGATAGCAATGGATATGCAGTTCAACGGGAGTTTGTTCCACCAAAAGACGTTTTACTTGATCGCACCATCTTCCAAGAGAATTACACTTCTGGCGAAATTCGTCGCCTCAATACCATTCGCGACTTTTCAAATGGCGTTTCAATCGAAAACGCAAAACGTCCATTTACAAGTCTTTCACAGTTCCAATTGAATTTTGATGGGAAGTGCAGCGAAGTTTTCAAATATAGTTCACACACCCCTCGCGATTTGATAATATATGGCTTTCAGCAAATGACTTATGACAGTTCAAAACTCCGATTTGATGAAATGTTGCGGAACATGGACGTTGTATATTCTTCTCTTCGTTCTTCAATGCCAAACGTCACTGTCGTCGTCTTAACATTCACTCCAATTGATTCCTCCACTCGACTTGTATTTGACAAGTATCATATCAAAGTGTATAACGAATATACATACAAAGACTATAACGGCGCAAATGCTCGTGTTCTCTCGATCGGCGATTTCCTTACGCGCCACAAGGAAGACTTTGACCGAGTGGTCTTTGCTGATACGCGCGATGTCTTCTTTTTCAATGACATCTTCAAGACGTTCGGTGTGAACGACTTAATCTTAAATAACGAATGCAAAAGACTGAACAATCAAAACTGTCTCAAACTTCTCCAAGGCGACACATCATACAAGTGGTTCAAAGACTCGTACTCCGAAAGCCTCGCAAACGAATTTCGCATGAAAAACGTCGATACGATAAATGTCGGACTTGCCTTCGGTGGGATCCTAAAGATGACAAAGTACTTAAAGACACTCACAAAGTATTTCGACACATCGAAGAAAGCACTTTGGGGGTATGAAACATCTCTTGTGAATTACTTGTACTACTCCAATAGACTCGACGAAGTTAATATCACTATAGATGGGTGTAACCAGAGGTCGTGTTTCATGTTGGAGAAGCCAGCAGTCAGTTTGGGTCGGAACGAGGAGGGATATTACTTGGAAGATGGGTGTACACCTGTTGTTGTGCATAAGGGACTACCCGATTCGTGGTTACAAAGAAAAGGAGATACGTATGTGTATCACTGGTCATTACGGTGATGTTGTGATGAGATAAAAAGATTATTGAGTGATTTATTGAGTTATTGGTTTGATGTTTCAGATTTTTTCAATGGCGGAACAAAATTAAGAATTTTTAGTAAAATATAGTATGTTGTATTAAAAATAAAAACAATCTGATAGAATCAAATCTGCTTTTGAGAGATCGAGATTGATGCGTGAAGAATGAAGAGATATTTAAAGGCAAAAATGGAGAAGGAAGATGAAACCCTTTCAATGGAAGATTATGACGTTCAGAAGATGATACAATCTGACATTGATCTTGTTGACAACATGAACGGAAAGGCCGCAGAATGTCTTGAAATGGGACGAGAGAGTTCTCTCAAGTTGCACCAACAAGGACAACAACTTGACAAAGCAAACAAGACGCTTTGTGATGTTAGCAACCAGCAAGAGCAAGCCAAGAAATCGTTGTTTAAGATCAAATGGTTTTTGCCTCACCTCTTTTCGCGAAACAGATCAAAGACTGAAATGAAAAAGGCGAAGAAGGCAGCGAAAAACTCGACCAAACAAATTGAGAAAAAAGAGAAAAAGGAACAAAAGGCGTTTACTTCTGAACAAACGAAACACCAAAAATCTGTTGACAAAAAGGAGAAACACAGAAGAAAAGTTCTTGGGAAGGAAGGCCGCGAGTTAGAAGACAAACAACAAGAGAAATTGCATGCTGACACCCAAGATAGGTACTTTGACAACGCGATGGATGCGCTTGAGCAAAACGTAAATAATATGGCAGGGATGGCAGACCAACTCAATGACCAAATTATCTCAGTTGGAGAGAAACTCGAAACCCACAAACAACTAGTCCAAGCAGACAACGACAAGATTGAACACAACTTTTCTTTGGCGCAAAAGCTCTGTTTATAAACGTGTACTTTATAACAATTCAACTGTAACTTAACATTATTCATTTCAGTTCAAGAACTTGAATCCATTATAATAAAATGATTCAATAAACAAGTTATAGAAAGAACAAAATGCGAAGGGTGTTCCTTATTTGGGGATTTCGGCAGACAAAGATAGCCCCAAGAGGCTGTCGTCGTTCAACGGGAGGTTCAGCAATTTCGTTGTGAAAAATTCGACAATTTGTTTGTTTTCTTTCTCTGGCACATTCGACGCGTATACACCAAGCAAGTCGATGATCGCTCCAATTTTACTACATTTCACAACGTTGAGCATCTGGACCTTCTCGCCGTCGACGTCTCTGTATATGTCAGGCGAGTTGTAAATCTCCTGCATTATTTCTATTTGGTGTTCTATTTGTCACTTCTCCATGTACAAGAACGCGATAAAGACAAACCGAAATTTGGCACCGAAGGTGGTCTGAACGTGACGGAAAAGTTTTGCGCCTTTTCCTCCAACACGACATCTTTCAATTCGCAAAAAATGTTCCAGTCTTTCTTTTCAAGTAAATTCCAAGTGTTATTAAGTCTTCTTACTGCTTGGTGTTCGAGTCCGTTTAGAATAGAAATTGCGGAGTTAAAGTTTTTGTATTTTAAACAGTCTGTTGCAAGTGTGAGACACCCCAATAGTGCGACTTTCCTCTTCTCCAAATCCTTTACTCTGACAATTTCATAAGATATCCAGCGAGAGAAGAGACATGACCATTGAGAGTATTGATTGACTAAAGAAACTGGCCGTGTTGTTGCATTGAAATACAAGTAATACTCATGTGGTGTAATTTTTCCTAAAAGCATCAGTTCTATTCCAGAGAGTTGTTCAGGCAGTCGTTCTCTGCACTCTTTATCTGAGACACAGACCTCTTGGAATTTGAACAGATTTTCATCGACAATTCTTTTCTTTGCAAACGTGACGACTCCATTTTCCTCAAACACGACTTTAATGGCTTCGTTCAGGTCGTTCAAACAACTTAACAGAAATGGAAATTTCTTTTCGACGCTTTTGAGGGCTTTGTAGAAGTCCATGACATAAAAAAGAAGTTTATTATCAGTGAATACGGTTCCCCTCACTTCGAGCCAAGCGATTAAGATATTAATACAATGAATTGCTTCTTCATTTTTACTTTTCAAATTATCGTCCAACGCAGTGATCACATTTTCCATCAAACAGCTGAGAATTTCAAAGGGAGAGTACTTCTCTTGATAAAAGAGGATTTGTTGTGAGAAGGTCTTGTTCGTCACAAGTGAGAGTAATTTCACCACTTGTTCCAACGAGTCCACATAAAGGTCTTTATCCACAACTTGCACGTGGTACTCTCCCATCACTCTGAACATATTGATTTGTGTTGGGTAGTCTTTAATATGAAAGATTTGGACTCCTTTGTTCTCGCCTTTTGGTTCATTTTTCATGAATTCTCTCACAACATCAGTAGGTGTTGCGTTCAGCATTTTCGCCTTCAGCGTTTCAAAAAAGTCGTTTTCTTCTTGGATCCTTGGACTGCCACTTGGTTCTGTTTTCGCGTGTTCTCTCATCTGTGGTTTAAAGTGGTTCAGAAACATCACCAGAGAGCTCTTCCTCTTTTCCTTCTTCTCTTCTTTTTTCTGCTTTGTTGTTCTCTTCTGGTCCATTGAAATCTTTTTGATATCCTTAGCTGTTAAACTGCATCGTGTCTTCATCATTGATCAACTCGGTTATACTCGGAGTTTCCTCAGTTCACCTTTTTCATAGAAAACACCAACTCTAGTGTTCTATTTTTACTCCGTTTTTCTTGTTATTAGTTTCCTCTGACAATAATACAATCGAACTAGTAATTATACTTCTTTTTACTATATTATATAGCTCGTCACAACACACCAAGAAAACAATGAAGACAATCGTCCATTTAGTTTGTTGGGACCAGAAATTACCAATCAAAAACTATCCTCTCTAATTATTTTATTATAAATTATAGTTTGTTTGAAGAGAATAAAAATAGAAAAAGATGAGAAGACCTTCTATTCCTGTTTTGTAACAAGTCTCGACAGTTACAAATTACAAACTCAAATAAAAAACTTTCAAAATGAACGACTTAATCCCTTAGCGCAGACATTCTTGCGAGTAAATCTTCGTCTTCGTCCGCGGTTGCTTTCTGTGGTTGCATTGTTCCTGCGCTTGGAATTGGTGCAAAGACACCACTGCTTTGGAATTGTTGTGAAGGTTGTTGTTGACTTTGAGTTGAGAAGCTTGGAAATTGGCTTTGTTGAGTTTGTTGTTCTCCGAAGTTTGGGAATTTACTTCCACTACTTTGTTGTTGTTCTCCAAAGCTTGGAAATTGGCTTTGTTGTTTGCTTTGAGTATCGAAGCTTGGGAAAAGGTTCTGTTGAGAACTTTGTTGAGTACTTTGTTGACCATCGAAGCTTGGGAATTTATTTTCTTGTTGATTAAAGCTAGGAAATTTGTTTTGAGTGTTTTGTTGTTGATCGAAAGATGGGAATTTATTTTCGCTTTGACTTCCGAAGCTGGGGAATTGATTTTGTTGAGTAGTTTGTTGTCCATCAAAGCTCGGGAATTTACTTTGAGTGTTTTGTTGATCGAAAGACGGGAATTTTGATTCGTCTGTATTCATAGAAGCGAATCTGGCATACGACGAACTTTGTTGTATTTGATCACTTTGAGGTTTTGGTTGTTGTTGTTGGACTTGTTGAGGTATTTTCTTATTTGGGTTTAAAGCGGTCAATAAAGCTTCAATAGTGACGTCTTCTATATTATTCATTTGGCGATATTTCCTCGCTAACTTTTTATCGACATTTTCTTCAATACATTCCGCTACTAAAGTTGTTCCAAACTGTCCGATAAACATTTTTCGTATTTCGCTGAGTTCTTTGACTTCATCTAATCGATCGGACAAGTACACGACAGTTCGGATTTCAAGTTCTAATGAGCGTGGGACTAATCCCATAGTCGGAAGAGCTTTAGAATATTGTGCCAATGTCGATATCATCTTCACTAGACCGTCATAAATATCGGCAAGGTATTGATTGTATATCATACTCTTCGCCTCTTTTTGAGCATCTATGTTTCGGTGCTGTTCCAACATCGATGCTATCACTTTCTTCGAGCGAAGAAGAAACTGCTTTTTACCTTGCGATGACGCAGTCAATTTCGTCGTCGCGTTCGAACATGCAACCGCAAAACGTTCTTCTGTTAGTCGGCGACTCATTTCTTTCAATTTTTAAGTTCGCTTCTTCCATTCCTCTTTCTTTAATCGTTGGAGGGGAATAGTAATAACCAATAGTTATATATTTATATTTATTACTATATTTGTGATTTAATAATGGTATTAATATAGTTAATTAATTATTTATTTTCTTATTGTGAATGGCTTTGTGGTTTTTGAAAGAACTCAAAGAAATAAAAAGAAAAAAATGACGTTTTCAAAATTTCAGATCATAAAAAAAATACTTATTAAAATCATTAAAAAACTATTATTTGATGATAAAATGATCTAAAAATACAAAATTATTCAAGATTATAATTTGATACAACATCTGACTTGGGTGTCTCCATGACGATGACGGGAACTCGTACCCTGATTGGGGATTCAATTTTTGTTTCAATAATTTCTCTTTGCTTTTCAATTGGTACTAAGTCTGGTTCGTATTTTTTGATAAGCCCATCCCTTTGGATTGTGACAAGTTGCAACAAGTTTTTGAGTCCCATAATTTCCTTCTTGAGATCTTCTATACGGTTGATTTGCATCTCCGTGATTTTCTGTCTGGTGCTGATCAGTTCGTCGTCTTGCTTTTCATTGTCCACCTTCTCATTTTTTTCCAATTTTTCGCACTTATCTGTGCCTTTCTTTCCGTCACTTCTTTTTCCGTCCACTCTCGGTGAGATGTTGAGATTCATGAAACTGTTGAACCTTTTCAAATTTCTTTGACTTTTCTTTTCTTTCTTCTCTGATTTTTCGGTTTCTTCGTTGTCGCTCAGTGATTCACTTTTACTGGAATCTACCATGTTTTTTTCCTCTATTTCCGTTCCTTTAAAAAACGTTGATTTATTACGGTTTACTGGCCTAACTTGGGGGTAGGTAGTAGGAAGTTCCGGGAGATTGAGCGCAGATTTGACTATTGATGTGATTTTTGAGAATGGGACTTTTTGGTGTGGAATGATACAGGGGTATTTTGGAAAATAAACGCCGCTATTTTCGTTTCTAATTCGTATAGCATAAAAAATAGGTTCGAAGTTATTGAGTAAAAACTCAAAAGCCGCAATTGCGATTTTTGTGTGGACCAATTCGTCCATTTTCGGTGGTTGAGGTGGGCGACATATAGTGAGTCCGATACACGTCGCCAAATTTGCAGCGTTCATTTTGGTTTGACTTTCATTAGTAATTATATCATTAAGTAAATTACATATAATAAATAAAGTATCTTGATTTACTAGAGGAAGACTTTCAATAAATAGTTTTGGGTCGATCGATCGTTTTGGTAAGTTAATATAGTTGTCATAATAATCAAAAGGGATCAAAGGATTAGGTAATGATCTAATATAATCTTTGAGAATGACAGAAGCGACTTTACAATCTCCGAAAGAATCCATATCTACGTCTTGATCATTATCTAAGATTTCTTTGACTTTACTCATATTAATAAATGATGCGCTTAATCTAAATATTCCTTCCATTGTCTTTCCGCCATTCTTTTCTAAATATTCAATAGATCGAAAGACCGGAATAGGAAATCTCCAATTGCATTTTTTAACGGAAGATTCTAAAGGATAGCCAAATACACCCCACGCATTAGCTTCCAGTGATAGTTTATTAATCCATATATTTAATTCATACTCGGATTTACACATGAAAACATATTGTTTATTATATACTACCTCAAAACAAAAGGCCTTTTCTATGTCGGACGGAAGCTCGACTTGAACCTCTCGCGACACTATCGATTTGTTCAAATTCACTTTCGGCTTCTTGTCGATAAACAGATACGTCTTGCCCTTGTGTTGGTTCAGCTCTACCTTCGCCTCGACAAATTTCGTCTTATTCAAAAGCAAAAGTATCTCCTCCGCCATTCCGACACGTTCTGTCATTTTTTCTGATTGCAATCACGTGTTCTTTTTTAAAAACCCCATTTTGGGGTGATATTTTTGTTAAAGTACTTTTGGTTTTCAACTTAATCAAATCTTCGAGATTTAATTGAAAGTTTACCATTCATCCATAGTTTTAGTCAACAACAGTCTTATTTTCTATAGCAAAATGGCAAAATGAAAAATCGCCAATTTGCTTCTGATTTATAATTAGTTTTAATTTAAAATACAAATCTAATCGAAACTTATAATATTTATGTTTTCTTCTGATCTGCCCAATTTAACTATATATTTTTAGTTTATATACTAATTTTAATACACTTTTTGATAATAAGTTATCAATTTAAAGTTCTTTTCAAGCAGATCAATTATAGTTACTACTTTAATATAAATATATTATAAATCTATTATATAATATTAATATATCATAAATATATTGTATTGATATATAATAAATATATTGTATATAATATAATTATAATAGATTTAATTTAATAAATATTCAAAAAATGGACGACTACTATTTTCTTCAAGTAAATAACTTTCAGTTACTTTAAAAAGAGATGGGAGACTTAATAGGGAGTGCCCTCTTTGCTGGACTCTCCTTTGGACTCTTCAAAGTAGCGTGTGACACTTTAGACACATTTTTAAGAGAGAAGATACCGGAAGTCTGTGACGATGAGAGTAAAAAATTAGAGACGACAAAGAACACGGACTTTACAATAGAAAATGAAGACGTTGAAAACACAACCAAAGAGACTCATGACCACAAAGACGATGTTACTGAAATCCCATTAGAAGAAGTTAAGACGTATGTAGAGACTCATTATGAGGGATACAAAAGTGCCATAAACAGAAATGAAGTGGATGTTGCTGAGAGTGAATTATTGAAAGTGATCGACTTATTAAAGAACGTCGGGCAGTTAAAAGGGATTGAAGGGTGTTCTCTCTTGAAAGAAGAATCTTCACTTCGTTTCATGCACAGTGACTACGAAGCCTCCATTGACTTTCTTGTGATGTCTTTAGAGTTATTAAAGGACGTTTCGAGTACAACCGAGCAAGAGCAAACTGACGTGACACTTCTTGAAATTGAGTCTTTAAATCAATTAGTCCAAGCAAAGACTTTACTGACGAAGTATACAAATTGTAATAACCCTGAAAAAATCATCAGTGAAGCCGAGATGAGTGCCAACGAAGCCTTAGATAAACTCAGAAAGTTACCCGGCGATTATGAAGACCTTTCATTTGAGATTTCTTTGAGTCTTATTCAAGTGAAAGTATTTCAGAAAGACTGGATTAGTGCAGAAAAGATAGGCAGTGCTTTACTCCAGAACCATTCTAAGATCCCAGAGACTGATCCTAAGAAAGTCGCTTTAAGAACATGGCTTTCAAGTATATATGTAGCTCTGAATGACAAAGACCGTCTTGAAAAAGTCTTAGAATACTCTCGTGAGCATTCCGAAGGTGTCGAGAAAATAGAAGCCTATCAGACTTCATCGGAGTTATTACTTGATTGTTCCGATAATGAATCGGCAATTAAATATGGACTTCAAACACTTTCTTTCATCAATGAGAGTCAAGTGGAGTTAACAGAAGATTTAGAGACTCTAATGGTTCAAACATTTTATACTTTATTAGATGCCTTTGAAAACACTAAGAATGCTACACACTACAATAAGTACTTTGAAATGCTCCTTCAAAACCTTCCTAAAAATAAGACTATTTTGGTGCATTCTCATATCTTAAGAACAGTCGAAATACAACAAATCCCATCCGCTGAAAACAACATCTTTAACATTGTGACGAAATTCTTGGTAAGGAGTGTCGGGGCTAGTGCTTTACCTAAGACTTACAAAGCTAATATCTCATATTATGACACAGATAACACTTGTTTGTGTTCAACTATAGACTTCACGTTGAATCAACCACAAACAACTTTCACTCTCACCTCACCACCTCTCACTCTTACCAAAAACAAAAACTATTATTTCATCGTCTCTCTCAAAGATAATGAAACGACTTTCTCAAAACACAGGCAGTTCTTCATGATCGTTTAGTGCTGTTTTGTTCCAATTTTCTAACTCTTTTCCTTTTTTACTATAAATCTTACTCAAATCACTTATTACATGACTATAATATTCCTTAAGATAATCACCATAAAGTAGTGAAGAGCAAAAGAAGAAGAAATGGGTAGTACAAAAAGTTAATTGAGACATTCTAATATTTCATTTTCAACAATTCAGTAATTCCTCCACTACACGACAGGAAGTGGCAACGCTTCTCCGTCTCGATCTTCCCTCTGTTCATGATAATTTGCAAAATTTTTTCCGTCTCGTTGCTCGCAAGAATTTGCTACGCGTCAAACCCCGTCTAGTAAAATTTATATAGAATGAACTATATAATTTCATTTATAATATATTTTATTATAAAATATTTATAATATGTTTTATCATAAAAAACTACACCCGCAACAAATAAACAGACAAACATCCTCCTCACAAGTCCACGGAATGACTTTCCCATCCGAAAAGAATCTCCGTGTTAAATCGACGTCGCCACTGCACGCGTACAACGCATAAATAACAACTTTCTCGTCGACGCTGAACTGTGCCTTCATCTCGCAGACCAATTTGTTGACATAGGCAATTCGGTCTTTATCGGACGCAGGCCGATTCATACTCGACACATGTTGCTCGTACGGACTCACACACTCGGGGACTTCTTTAATACTTTTAAAATATCTATTTTGTTATTAAAAATGTTATTTCCATGTGATAAGAAAAATCAGAGTATCAAACGGGTCCATTAAAATGTCAGGTGTTGGTGAGGGCGTTGGAGTTATGAACGATGCTATTTTGTCATCATAGGAGTCTTCGTTCATCCACACTTCTCTTTTTCTAGTTTATTTTTCATTTTCCGATTTCTCATTTCGCCATTTTGTGCTTTCCTTTGCATTCCTCGTCTTTCGAACTCAAAAAAACCCTCTTTTCTCTTTTTAAGTCGCTCATTTGGGACGCAATCTCTCTCTGCTTTTATTAATAATTAATTTATGGTTTTTTATAGCTTCATTTAATTAAATTATTGCACATTAAAATATTCTTCCTATCTTGTAATCTTCAAAAAGAGAAAAAGGGTTTATGAAAAAATCAATGACCAAATATAGCAATCTAAAAATAATCGAGACAAATTCTATATAAATGGTTTTAAAAATCAGTGAAAATAGCAATTGTTTTTATGGCTTTCCCGAACAAATCGGTAAAATATATATGATTTAAATTGATTGTGAGACAGACATACAGAAAGGAGCTCTCTAGTCCTCCATCATTTTCTTTCTCCCCCAATACATCGTCCTCTCAACGCACATTTTGATGAAAGGGTCACCCACAACGACACCGTCGATGAGCAACACATTAACCCTAAAATTCTCCATTTCGGGCGTGCCCATAAATTGTAAGAAATGTGGCCTTGCCGAGTCAATACACTTGATCAATTTTGTTTTTGATGAAAAATTGAAAGGGTTATACCCAGCCTTTATGGAGTTTGACGACGGTGTCATGATAATTTGTAGAACCGTGACAGCGTGTCTTCTTTCATCAATCCACTTGATCCCTTTTTTTAAAATCACGTCCGCAACTGACTCGAATGTTGCTTGATTCGGCCAGAACGATTTGATGTACTGTTGACTCCACACGGCTTTGTCGATCTTAATTTGAGGTGGGTGGTCGTAAAACACAAAAACATTTTTATGCATTTTGACCAACTCTTCAATACTCGTCGATAAATACTCCTCCTTTTCTTCGATTATCACCTCCTTAAAGAGCTCTTTTATTCCAATTGCGACGTTTTCGTAATCGTCTTGGTTCATTTCGTATGTGTGGTTGATGTCAACAATGACAACTTCGGTTGGATGATCATCCACAAACCTCTTTATCACATTGAGCAATTTGAGTAACGTGTCGCAAATCAGTCCGTGGATCGTGTAAATGACGTTATCCACTTTTTGTATTCTTAAGTCGATGTACCTATCCCCTCAAATAG